GAGTTGTTGGGATATTTTGGGTAAGAAAAATGAGAAACATATATAACCTCTTTGAATTTTGTATTTTGGATGTAGTCAATGATATCTCTGGTCAAGGGGGATACCGGCTTTTCCTGTGGCTTCATCAGACGGCCGGGATTAACATCCTGGAATTGGAATGAAATAGTTTGGTCAAGATAAAATAAAAAAATTGAATTATTTACAATTAAAAAAACCTTTGTGGTAAGAGAGTCACCTTGATGTTGAGTTTCTCAATAAGGAAACGAACAAGTCGGCTTATTTCCAGACCACAACTACTAGATGGAGGCAACCCATCATTGGTGAAGCCATTGCATATCTGTCATAACAACTAGTTTGTTAGTCAAAGCAAAACCCAAAACACTAAAGAATAGAAGCTTCATTGTTATCAGCCTTATAACTTACTCCATGTTTGTTGACGAAGAGCTCAACGCTTTCACTCAAAGCATTGTTTGATCCATGTACTTTTGCCAATGGACTCATGATGGCGGGATGATTTATTATGAAAGTAGGGTTCGTACAAGTATCTTTGAGCAATTTTCCAACAAGCTACAAAAAAAACCCAAAAAAAATTCAGATCCTAATGGATAACATTTTGAGATCTGTCCCAAAAAGTGAGAAGTGTGACAGAAATTACCTTATCCAAAGCTGCTCTGTTGTCCCAGGAGCAGGGCATGGTGCAGCAAATACTACACTTGCACAACTAAAAAACACCCTGGCTTCAAGGCTTGGTAGGTCTGAAGGTATCACCATTTTGGTCAGGTTCTCAAGCTCTCTTATCACGTCAATCCTCCTACAAAAGACAAAGTAGAAATTACCTACCACAAAGGTCTACACAAACTTGTTTATTCAATGAAAGACAAAGCCGCCGCCTCTTACCTGAACGGAGGAGTGATCAGTCTATTTCAACAGGCTCCTAATCATACCCATTAGCGTGATACTTGATTGTGTAACCACCTGTCAACTCCTTCATGTAGTCAAACTCATGTCAAGTTCAGCTTTCTTTGCCATCACAAAAACGCGGTCAAATATAGCATGAGTTACAAGATTCCTCAGCCCCACTTGAGGATACGTGATTTGAGGTGTCATAAAGAAGGTTAGTCATTAGGTCATCATTCCGAATCTGAAAAGATGAAAATATATCACATACGGAAGTCAGATATTATTTGAAAGAAACTGAAACGAAGTTATAACCTCTTCGAAATTGCGTCTATCTGACAGGAAACTCCGGATGAACTTTACAGCTTTAGACATCACCAGGACCATGTGGAATTGTTCAGAAACGGCCTGGTGATTGTAGAAGATCGAATTACAAGGATTAGCAGTAGAAGAAGTAGAGGGGATAGTGTTGTTTGGTTGGACGTGGACTAACACGTGCCAGTTAGATATTGGTTGAAGGTGGATTAGAGAGAGGAAGACTTTTGGTGCGGCCGGTTAGTGGTTTAGTTGCGCGTTTCATGTTTGCCGCAGAA